CCCCTCAGGTTGGAAGAACTCATAATAAGTCTTGTGAAGTGCAGCCTCCTCAAAGTTGAGTAAACCTAAAGGGAATGGATGGAGTAAAGCTTTTGGTAGAAAAGACTGGCATGAAACGGAGTAGCAGGTTGGCTGGCTATGGAGCAAGAAAGCTGAGTGCCTTTTGGGCAGGAAGATTTCCTGAGGAGTGGGTTGCCTTTGGCATTAATCAGCAGAAGTAGAGAGATCAAGGACATAGGAAGCAGAGCTGCCTCAGCCTCAAAGAGTAGGACCATGGCCGTCAGGGCTGGAACCACCACAGGCCCCTAGGTTTCAAAGAGCTAGACCTTCACCAACTTGGTTCTGGAGTGTGGGGATGCGTGTTCATATGAGCCAGTGGGATAGAGCCATGGTTGCTGCCCAAGAGTGAGGGGGCAGGGCTGCCATGCCTAAGAAGGAGAGGAATGGGGCTGCAAGGCCAAGGGGGTGAGGTTGCCACTCAGGAACTAGGGGACTGGAGTCACCCAGTGAAGAGATCTGTACAGATACCACCATTGAAGATCTGTACAGGTGCCAAGTTGCCAAGGGGTAGAATTGTGTTGGTTAAGTTTGTGTGTCAACTTGACTGGGCCTAGTTGAGTGGCTGGGCAGTTGAATGTAGTTATTTCCCATCATGAGGTGGATAATGAACTCCATGGTGGAATCTACTGAAGCAGCTGAGTAGCTGCTTTGGGTATATTGTCTGCTTCCTGTATATAAGTAACATCTTTGGGAATGGTCTCTAGCTTATGGCACGCTTGAACCCTGCATGTAGCCATGTTGTTCTGCAGCCTGCTATGCTCTGCCAACCTTGGGACTTCCAATGGACTTGAATTAATGGACTGCCATGTGGTTTGGCAACATTGAGAATGTGCCATTTTACTTGTCAACCTTGGGCTTGTTAGCTTCAGCATCCAGTAGCTGAGTGAAGAAAAGCCTCCAGCTTCTGTGGGCTGGGAGCAGGAGGCAGAGCTGAAGCCCAAGGTTGAGGGGCTTTCACTGAGCCTCTAGAGCCTGGCACTTTGAACTTGGACTTAAAGCCTCCACACTGTAAGAGAATAAATTCCTTTTTCTTCAAGCCATCCCATTGCTAGTATATTCTTTTCAAAGTGGTGCTAGGTAACCAGAACAATCTCTTTTACTTTATCATTTCTTCCTTTTGCCTTCTCTACTCTATTTCCAAGGAGCTCTGGTGGCATAGTGCCTAAGGCGCTTGACTGCTAACCAGAAGCCTGGCGCTTCAAACCCACCAGTCACTCCTTGGAAGGAACGTTGGGTAATCTACTTCTGTAGTGATACCACCTCAGAAACCCAAGGAGAGGTCCAAACCCAAAGAGCGGTTGCTATGAGTCAGGTCCGACTAGATGACACATAACAACAACTACAACAACACTCTACTTCCAAGAGAAAGTATGAGTCTCTTCTGACATCCGTGTTTTTTTTCCTTTCCTGTCTTATTAGTGACCTTTTTCTTTCTCCATGTATGATATCTTTGATGTAATCCCACAACCTGTCTGTTTTTTAGACATTAGTGTTCAATGTGCCAAACCTATTTTTGGGAAGGTCTACAAATTCAGAATTGATGGCATACCAATTGAGATATTTCAACAAACAGATGCCCCATTGGAGGCACTCACTCAGTTATGCCAAGAGATTTGGAGGACAGCTAGGTGGCCAACTGACTGGAAGAGATCCATATTTGTGCCCATTCCAAAGAAAGGTGATCCCACAGAATGT